CTAAGACATTTGGCGCCTCGGGCAATTATTATTATATTATATAATAATTGAATTTTATTTTATTAAATATTTCTCTAATGCAGCTTCTTTATTAATGGGTTTGTTATTTTTTATTAACTATTTTAATAAGTTCTATAAGCTATTTTTTTTAATTCTTAACCAGTGGCAAGTGCCTCTCACGATCGGCGCTTTGGGGTATTGCCATGATTGTCCCGCCCTAAGGAACTAATACCTATAAAAATTTAATTATAAAATCTTACTATTTTAATCGGGTCTTTTGAACTCTTGGCTTTGGATCCTTTAGTTTCCACAATCCTAAAGGAACAGGTGATAAATGTGAACATTATTTTGTGAATTCATTCGTATTGTGATTGTGAAGGTTTTCGAAAATATAATATTGCGTATAATAATTACCCTTGAAAAAACAAGATGCGACTAGAGAATTTATACCATCTTGAATGATTTTATGATAGAATGTGAGTGTTGACCTGAGATTTCTCAACTTATCCAGAAGGGTGGGTGAGAAAGACCAGAAATTCCAGCAGCAGGAAAGGTCAGAACGGGTCCGGTCAAAAGAGGATGTATATAATAATTCTCTACTAATTGACAAGGTCCAAATGTGACCCCGAGATATTCCTGGTCCGGTCGAAGGAAGAAGAAAAAAATAAAATAAAAAGAGGTCCTGCGAGGTCCTTAAGGATCAGATTTAGTGGGGCCGCTATCCTGGAGGTAGCCAATTAGTGGCCGGCCACGCCCTCCCCCATTTACATAAGTCCGCTCCCGGGTCCGTCTTCTTATCTTCTCTTTCATCGTCGATATCTCCTCGCGGCAGCAAAAGGACTCCCGCTTTTTCGGCAATGGTCCCAAGAAAATATTCTAAAACGTTTACGGTCCTATTTCGAAAAATAACATTTGCATACGAGATAATCAGGCATTTTGTATCCGTTGAAGATTGGCTAATCAGATTTTCTACTGTTTGTTAAATCTTTCAATAAAAGTAACCCAAATCTCAAAAGACATTTTCAAATGATTGAATAATTTTATATTCCTCAATTCTTATAATTTTTACTTTTCATTAACATCATAATTTTTACTTTAAATAAGAATAATTATAATAATACATCCGATTTTTCATTTTTATTTTATCAGTAAGAATATGGATCGATTTAAAGATACATCTCACAAAACATATTTCAATAATTCTCTCAAGAATAGCACTTTGTAACTACCGTTCCTTTCGTTTAAGTATATTTTAATATAACTATATCATATGTTACTACTTTATTAATTTTTTAATATTAAAATCACTAGACAATACTATTTTATTAAATCAAAAAACCCAAAATCCTCATTCTTTTGGCCTTCCAGCAGACTTTGTAGGTATAATGAAAAAAATATTCTAAATTTAAACCATCCTTTCATGCAATGTAGGATACAGACCCAAAATCCGTTTCTCATTTCTTTATCGAATTTTGAAATTTCAAGCCGGAATTTTACCTATAATAATTTGACTTATGACATTCATTAAATAATAACGCTTTTTATTATTATATATTTTTTAAGGGCATACTTCGTGATAGGCTTGAATCTGAAAAGATTGAAAAATTATGAATGGAGAAGAGTATGTATCACCATTTTGAGAGCTCATTATAAGTAACAGCAATGATTCCGTGGCTTGACCAATAATTGCTAGCCGAGCTAAGGAAGAGTGAGGAAAACAGCAATAGAGTGGGGACTTTAATTTATTGCCAAGTATTTCTTAATTAAATCATTAAATTAAACGAATGAGCAACAAACATTTTACGCCCAATTCAAATCTTTAAAAAAATTATACATTTAAATAAATACTAGACGAATAGATATTTATAATTATTTACATTAGTTAATTAGAAAAAATAATAAATTATATTAAATGAATTAAAACGCAGAATCATAAAAGAATATTTAAAATACGACTTCCAAATGAGGCCTCACCATTTTCATTCGAACTTATATCTCAAAACCAATAATTTCTCGTATGAGAATAGGATCTTCGGAAGAAGCCGTAATCGAAAAGTAATCCCATAATATTCACGGATTTGATATCCACTTTGATGATATAAAATTGATATCAGCGAAAAAAAATGTTAATATACATTTACAAATTGCGTATTTGACTCTTCGTAATAAAAAAAAAGCTTGAACTTTCCATTTCCATTACAGGATGTATGTACATCCTGTGAATGTATTGTACTTAACCTATATGTTTTTAATCGTAAAATGTGTGGAAAAGCCATTGGACAAAATAAATTTTATTTTTCTATGATGTGTCCAATGCCTTCTACTTTTCACAGCCATTATATTTTAAATATTAATTTTATTGTTAATTAGAATTTAATGAAATTGATACTAGGCAATTCCTGCACCGTTCTTCTAATTTTCTCCAAGTTTGGGTCAAATCGAACGAGCCGTTTTCAAATTATAGGCGTGTCAAAAATAATATGCTTGATAGTCCGAAAGTATTTTTTTAAATTAGTGGATGGAATTGATAAATATTTGATCATCTATCAACAATCCCTAAGATCCCATCGAATTTGACCAAAATCAAACGTGCGGATTTAGATACATTGGTACATCAAGGAAACCTATTGGGCACAGGCGGATTTACGGGGGGGAGGCTTTCGGGCTGAAGCCCCCCCAAAATGGTAAAATATAACCATGTTTTATGGTAAAAAATATTAAAAAATTAAGTCTTAAAGTATTATTGCTCGTTTAATTACATTTAATATGACTTCAAGAATCACTTAAACACCATTCCATGTAGGTAGTTAGAATCTTTCTGTTTTTCCAATGAAAGTATCGATATATATATATATGAAAAAAAAAATCTTTCGGGCTGAAGCCCCCCCAAAATTAAATCTTGGATCCGCTAGTGCTATTGGCGCATATATAAGAGAAAGTATTTGACGGAATTCAATAAAATAATACCACACCATTTTTTTAGCAATACTTGACTTCCCTCCAAATTTGAGCTAAATCGAAAAGGCAGTTTTTGAAATATTGGCATATCCAAGAAAATACATTTACATTATACATTATGAAGTACTCGATGAAATTAATTAAAATTAATATGAGTCCATTTAGACACTACCCCGTACAATCCCTAAAACTTTTATGGAAATCGTATGCCCGTGGTGACATGCCCATTACATAAATTTGACTGCAGACAGTGAACCAAATTTTATTGGCATGTTGCCACTTGATTTCTGAAATATAAAACATGAGTGAAAATTTTCGATTATGGAGCAAAAAAATTGAGTGAAAATTTTCGATTATGGACAAAAAAATTGTTTTAACTTCTCGCACGAATATAAGGCTTCCCGACCTTCGGTAGGGAGGAAGGAAAAAGAATTCCAATTAATAAAAATATAATCGTCATATCAGATTTTCACAATTTGTCATAGCTTGTACTAATTTGAATTGAAAAATAATATTTACATAAAAATGGGAAGATATGAAATCCATTTAATATTATAAAAAAATACCATTGGATTTGATCGTTAAAAGTTCTCCCTCCTAAAAATGTTAAACATGTTTATGTTTGATCAAACTGGATTCTGGAGGCTTCCGAAAGTGCACCTGTAGGCCTCAAGAGGCCGCCTAAATATTAGAAGATAAATCTCTGGGAGAGGTAGCCGGGCGGAAGCGGAGGTCGCCAGGAGCAGCAGATCCAGTTGCTCTAAATTTATCGCGGCAGGGCAGCCAACCTGTTATTGAGAAATTGGAAGGTGGGGGGGGGAGACTTGTTTACAGCGCCTCTATTATCTCTGTTTGTGTCTGTGTGAGTGCCTGTTGTTACCACGGCCTCCTCTATATCTCTGTGTGAGTGCCTGTTGCCACCAGTGCCTCCTCTATATCTCCCTGCCCCGTGTAATTGGGGCTCGTGCCTTTACGGGTTTCCTTTTTAGAAAAGGTTAATCGAATGGTTGGGACTTCTCAAGTGGTCGTTAAAGCAACTTGTCGATTTGATATTTTATCGTTTATTTTTATTTAATATCATTCTCAAATAAATAAATAAATTATTGCATATTAAAAAATAATCAGGACATACAGTCATTTATGTAGTTTATTGAGTTAACCGGATCATCATCATGGCAATCGATCCATACTAGAATAGTTTAGCATTTATCAAGTCTAGTTTAACATTTATCAAACATTTCTTAGTAAATTATGATGCGAAGCTAATGATAATAAACAGTTTTAAAAAAATCACAATCCATAAATTATTTTTAAAATTTATCAATAAAATCATCTTTTTTAATAAAAAAAATAAGCTACTGAATGTGTCCTATAAAGCCTTTGAAGTAAAATATCTTTATAGATTTTGATAAATATTGCTTTGTTGTATAAAGACAGATAATGTAAGATGGGGTAACTTTGGGACTAGGTGAGTAATTCTAGGACAGCGGGTAAAATTTAGTTTGTGGTGATTCCGTGGTGGACACAATCTGTTGGTTCAGTTTGCAAAAAGGGGCGGGGTGGCCGAATGGGCTAAAGCGTGTGCACAGCTGTGGTCAGTGTGGTCTAGACCTCAGTTCAGAGCGTATGATAAAAGTTCAGTCAGTTTATAGTTAGTGATTTTCGCAGTTTTTAGAAGGAGTTCGGTCATAATTTTTGGTTAGAACCAACTATTAATCGTGTTATATCCACAGACAGGAAAGATTCTTCAATACAACGCCGTTTCACGTCAGAAGAAGAAAGGAAAAATCATAATTTTAGTCGGCTTAAGGTATTTATTGCAGGCATTCTAGATAAGAATATAGGTGGGGAGCGCATGCGCATAAATAGGACTAGGTACTAGATATCTCAGTGTTTCCAGTGACTAGGTTGGGGTAACGTCAATTTTTTTACCACGTTACTTACGTAATTTTTTTTTTTCTCTTTCTTCTTTTCTTTCGCTTATCAAGATGGTTTTATGCCCAATCTGTAAACAGACCATAGCAAGAGAAGAAAAAAAAACAATGGCATGCACTGTCCCAACATGTCAAGCCATTTTCCATGGAAAATGTCTAAACGCAGACGAGAGTGAGTTTGAAGCACTGAGGGCATTACGAAAAAATTGGGAATGCCCGAAATGTGAAAAGGCACGGAAAAATATCCAACCGACAGACAAGTGTCTCAGCCCGCCAAGATCGGCGCCACAACAACAAACTGTCGACAGCACGTCACAACTGCTACTTGCTGCCATTAAAAATTTAACAGAAGAGGTCAAGGGATTAAAATTCTCCCTCGATGCCAATGCTAACGAGGTGAAAGAATTAAAAATATCTCTCGAAAAGCAAGCATCCATAACTTTTGAGAATGCGGCGAAATTAGACTCTATAGAGTCACTACTGGAGGCTCAAAATTCCAAGATTGACGGACTGGTCTTGGAAAACACGACTCTCAAGTCTCGGGTCTCGGAGCTCGAAATCAGGCTCAATAAAAGTGAGCAACTGCACCTTTCCAGGTCAATAGAAATAAGAGGAGTCCCAGTGAGATCTGGAGAGACCCCGATGGGCCTGGTTATGAGCGTGGGGGCGGGCCTGGGCCTTAGTCTAAAGGTGGAGGACATTGACTATGCAGAACGGATAAGAAACAGGCAAGACGATACACCTGGGCCGCTTGTGGTAAGGTTCGTCCGGCAGTCGCTTAGGGATGAGTTGATCCAGAGGCGAAAAGTCATTAGGGATTTTTCAACACGTCACCTCGGATGGCAAGAAAATGACGCCCACAAGATCTACCTGAGCGAAGCTATGTCCGTAACCAACAGACACCTGTACTGGCTGGCCCGGCAAAAGAGGTCTGCAGGAAAAGTCAGGTACAGTTGGTTTAGCGCAGGCAAGGTGAAATGTCGACGAGACGATGGACAGCAGGTCGTCGTCATCAACTCACCATCAGATTTAGAAACATTTGCTTGACATGCATATACATGTTACAACACTTTGAACAATTTTGTTTTTACTTTTTTATATCCCCAGTTTTATGTTTTTGTTGCGTTTGTTTTAATAATAGACTATGATAATAATTTCATTTTTGTTTATGAGAATATTTTAGGTCTGATCTGTCCAGAAACTCTAATTTGTGTATTTTTTTTCTTTTGCACAATAGGAATATGCTTTTCGTTAACTAAATTTTATATTTTTTGTTTACCATCCTTATTAATATCTAGGAGATCTTGCACACAATTGGCTCTAGCTGCTGTAGAAATATTCCTATCCTTAACTCCTTCTGTCCGTTTACCAAGCCACCCCTCCTTCTTCCATGACTAATATCCTTCTAACCTGCCACGTCAACGCTCAGTCACTCTTAGCCCATTTTGATGAATTTTACGACTTTTTTCTCCATAACTTCTACCATTTAATTGCCGTATCCGAAACCTGGTTGAAACCCACAATCCCGTCCTCCCAGATCCTTCTACCTAACTATACTCTCCTTCGTCATGACAGAGTAGATCGCACGGGTGGTGGAGTAGGTCTCTTTGTCCATGACAGTCTCAAATCCAAAATTCTTCACTGCTCTTCCATAACCGATTCTCCGCACGTTGAATACCTTTTCGCCGAAATCCTCACCACCTCATCTGCCATTCTGTTTGCTGTCATATATCGCCCTCCTAGAATTCCTTTCGATGAATCACTTGAGACTTTATTGTACAACTTAATCCCTTCCTACTCAAACATCATCCTCTCCGGTGACTTTAACACCAATTTACTGGCACCATCCTCTGATTATTCCTACCTAACAAACCTCTTTAATTCTCTCAGCCTTTACATAGTACCCTACAATCCAACCCATCATACTCAGTATTCAGAGTCCTGGCTCGATCTGATTATCCTGGATTCCTCAGACAAACTCCTTGCCGCATCTCAGCACCCGGTTCCGTTTCTATCTTCCCACGATCTTGTCCAGATCTCTTACAATGTCCCTGTTCCATCCTTTTCTCCCCGAACAATATCCTTCCGAAACCTAGATTATCTCACTCACGAAACATTGTCAGAAGGTCTTGACGATATCCAGTGGGATCCCATCTACTCCTCAAAATCCATAGACACCATGGTAGAAATCCTAACCACTCAACTTCACTCTATCCTCGACCGACATGCTCCTCTTATCACAAAAACCATCCGATATCCTCCAGCTCCTTGGCTTACCCCTGCTTTGAGGGAGTGTATGAGAGAAAGAGATGCTGCAAGGCGACGGTTTAAACGAACTCGACTTCCTGATGATTTTCTCTCCTACAAACAGCTTCGAAATAGCACTCAATCAGCAGTACGCCGTGCTAAATCCCGTTACTACCATCATTCCCTATCCAACTCTCCCAATACCAAGGCTACGTGGGCTATTCTTAGAAAACTGACCATTGGTAATACACCCCAGTCTCAGTCCAATTCCGTTTCTGCTGATAACCTCAACGCTCACTTTGTCTCCTGTCCTCTTGCATCCACATCTCCCACGTCCAGTCTGGCTCCTATGTTCTCTTCCTTTAATCCTGATCACTTCTTTCTTTCCCATATTACACCAGATGAGCTCCTTAAATCCATTCAGAAGTCCCATACCAATGATTACGGTCCCGACAACATCCCAGTCAGACTGATTAAAGCCGCATTGCCATCCATTCTTCCGATCCTTTATCATATATACAATTATTCTCTTCAAAATGCTACCTTCCCTACATCCTGGAAAACCGCCCTAGTACGCCCATTGAAGAAGACTTCAAACCCATCAGTTCCTAATGATTTCCGACCGATTTCCCTCCTTTCAAACCTCTCAAAACCATTAGAGCGGTTAGTCCAATCCCAGCTATCCCATTTTTTAGAGGACAATAATCTCCTAAATCCCTACCAGTCTGGATTCAGGCCTGGTTATTCTACTCAGTCTGCCCTAATCAAAATTTCCCAAGACCTTCACACAGCCATAGATCAGCAGAAACTAACCATCCTTATTCTCCTAGACTTCTCCAAAGCTTTTGATTCAGTAGACCACAACATCCTCCTAACCAAACTTAAAAATATCTCTTTTTCTTCTAGTTCCCTTAATTGGTTCCAATCCTTCCTAACCGGTCGCTCCCAGTACGTTGTAATTCCTAATAACCCACCATCAGAATCTCTACCTCTGACCAGAGGCGTCCCACAAGGCTCTTCCTTATCCCCCACCCTTTTCTCCATCTATATAAATGACCTCCCATCCTCTATCCTGCACTGTCATTACCACCTGTATGCCGACGACATTCAAATTTACCTCTCCTTTAATCCGACAGATATCTCAGATGCCACTCAAAAACTTCAGGAAGATATTGACAGAATAAGTGCTTGGGCAAACCTCAATAGGCTCACTCTGAACGCCGAGAAGACAAAAGCCATCTTGATCGGATCCCCTTCACTCCTCAAATCCTCCCCAGTATCTCCCAATCTCTTCCTGAACAACTCACCTATCTTATTCTACACCACCGTTAAAAACCTAGGTGTTACTTTCGATCAATCCCTATCCTGGAAACCTCACATCTCCCAAATTTCCCGTCGCACTATCTCCACCCTAAAACAGTTCAATCGTCTACGATATCTCCTTCCATATAAGTCCCGTCAACTCCTAGTTTCCTCCCTTGTTTTCCCCCACTTCGACTACGGCTGTATGGTGTACGGCGGACTCCCGGGAGATTCCGAGGCCAAACTTAAACGCCTAATGAATTGCGCACTACGATTTGTTTTCGGAATCTCAAGGGATACGCATATTACCCAGTATTACACTGAGTTGAGGTGGCTCTACCCATCCTATCGCCGTCAGTACTTCCTAGCCACCTTTCTGTACCAAATTATTAGAACCCATCGACCCTCCTACATTTTTCACAGCTTACAATTCAAATATTCCATCCAATCCCGTCCCACCAGATCTCGTACTTCCGACCTCTATCCTCCTCCTCACCGAACTGCTGCGTTTGACAAATCCTTTGCAATACAAGCCGCCTCCCTCTGGAATTCCATCCCACCTGATATTCGACACGCTCAATCAGTTTCCTCGTTTAAACCACTCCTCTTTAAGCACCTACTCCTTTCTCAATCCGAATGATTGTGAAATATATCTAAGAGAAATATCTGAGCACCACCAGAGACTACCTCAATTTATTAAGATTATTTTAGTTTCTCATATATATGTACAATTTACTTGTTCTCTTCTTTCTCTTTTCTGTATTTTTATCGTAAGTCAACTTTCATTGTAAATATACAATTCAATTGTAGCCACACAGACATATAATCTGTATTCATATTTTGTTCTTAAGGGACTACAGTCCCAGAATAATAAAACATTTTTTTTCATTTTCACAGCACCGCGAGTTGCCTGGCAACCGGAGAACAGGATTTGAGATGATTTAAAAAGTACGAGTTCGCGTCCCGGTGCTGGAGGGAATTTTAAAATCCCCGCCTTCACCCTCCGGCCCGGGAAAATCCCGTATAGCTTAAAAGGCGAGGTAAGGAAGAACAAAAAAAAAAAAAAAAAAAGGTTCAGTTTGCAAAAACGTGCTTTGTATAGGTATGCACTGCGCTACTACCTTGCGGCAATTTGAGAACCCTAGCTCACTACACTCGTTGTGCAGTTAGGTTTTATTTATTTCCATTGCTTTTTTAAAAATTCTTGTTTTCATGAGTCTTTTTCTTGTACCTCATATATATTGTGCCGCGAGATAGTAGCGTAGTACATGCGCTATCTATGATGACTAAACCAACACAATGTATCCACCACGGAATCACCACAAACTAAATTTTACCAAAGTTACCCCATCGTACAGTAGTCCATGGTACAGACCCAATTTTATCCAATTATTAACGCCCCTCTAAAACTTGGTGAATAACTTCAACTCATAGTAACCTACAAATATTTTATTTACGAAAATTCGGGCGTTTTCAATCTGGAGATCTGCAAACTTTGTTTATTTATTTAGGTACTAAACACCCATAAATACCCATTTGTTTTCCACTTGAATCTTAAGATAATCACAAAATTGAAAAAAAAACGTGGCGTACAAAAATATTGGGCGGTTTGGCCTATATAACCTCGTTGTTTAGATATTTTGGGAGTGGAGGTTCCGCCAAATGGACCATTATTTTCGTATGCCACCTTTTGTTTTCGAATTTATGATCATATTATCTTATGATTCCAATGGAAACTGAATGAGTATTCATGAGTTTTAGTACTTAATAAAACAGAAAAAACTTGTCAATCTCCATATTGAAAAAGCCCACGTTCCGAGATCTTACTTAAATAAAATATTTGTAGGTTACGATATGAGATGAAGCTATTTACGAAGTTTTGGGCTGATGTTAATGATTTGATAAAAATGCGTCGTTACCACGGACTAACCACATATCAGCAAAGACCTTTTCAATGATAACGTTACAGTTTTTATAGATTAATTATTCTTCCGTTATGATATGAAATGAAGGATGAAAGTAAGATATTTAGGTAATATTTCATCATTTATGCCACTTCTATTTAATTTATTCATAAGGTGTAGAATCGAATCCGTAAAATATTGCCATAGGAACTGAAACGGCCCCTACATATTACTCTAAATTAAATATATTCTGAATTTTAATTTCAAAATATCTACCGTTACGTAGCAGGATCAGTTACATACAACCGGTCCGACACGACACTCTGGTTTAAGGGTCCAAGCGACACCCACACAGCCCTAAAAAGTTGTCTTGAAGGAAATTGGTGTGGGTCTGGCAGAAATCAGGAAGTCGAGTGGGTGCTGCTTCATTAACAGCCTCTGTTACAAATTTCTTGTTCCAGATAACAATCCAGCCTAATTTACTTTTAAAATAATCTAATTTAAAAATACAATAATTAATTAAAATTGTTGAGAGAATTTCAAATGTAGGATTGCATGTTTTCGACTTTGTTCATTTTTACACAAGCTTAAGATTTCCTAGGAAACAGCTCTAAAGATTTTGGAAAAATAAAACTTCTTATATTAATGTAAGATTAAGATGAATGCACCAGTAACGGACTGTTTGGACTTTAAATGTAAATAATAAGCTTTCTTGTTGTTTTAAAGCTATAGGTTTTTTTCGAGATTGAACAACGATGCCATTTATTGACAACTGTATGAACAAAGTTTCCATCAATCAAAAAGGAAGTAGGACTGAACAATGTTTCAAAGAATACTACCCCAGAAGAAATTAGGTATCATGAAATTGTCAATAAATTATTCCAAAATCATGACATAACTTTTACGGACGGTTCAAAATCAGACAAAGGTGTAGGATGCTGTATCGTAGCCCAAAACAATATAAAAAAATGGAAATTAAATATCAATAATTCAATTTTTACAAGTGAAACGTGGGCGATTCTCAAGGCATTTGAATACGTAATCGACACCAATATTGAGAAATCAGTAATTGTGACCGATTCCTTATCTGCAATCAAGGGACTGCAAAATACATGGACATGTAACACATTGCACAAAAATATTCAGCTAATGAACTTGAAACTAAATAAAAATAGTCAAAAAATAATATTGTTTTGGGTACCCTCACACATTGGCATAATTGGCAATGAACGAGCCGATCAGGGAGCAAAGGAAGCCACCAAAAGCACAGATCCACCTGTTTTAGGATGTTTCTCAACGAATGGAGAAGAGAGATTTCAAAGAAAGTGAACGACAGTTGGAATGCACACTGGAGATTACTGCCGCGCAATGACCTTCATCTGACCAAAGACGAAAATTGGTATCCTAGGTATCCTCCAAAACACCTGACATCAAAAGAGTGTTCTATAATAAGCAGGCTCAGGATTGGACATACCAAACTGACCCATCTCCACCTACTTCTTGGCTTACATCAACCAACATGTGAGGTATGTGAAAATGCTAATCTGACAGTTGAACACATATTCCAGTGCAAAAAGTTCCGGAAACAGCAAATCGAATTCCAAATAGAAGACAAGGCACCGTACAAGGAAAATGCTGGTATTGAAAAAACGCTGAAGTACATTCGAAAAATAAAATTAATAAGTTATATTCAAAAAGAACGATCGTCGCTAATGAGCCTGGCAGTCAATGCGATGTTAAAAAAACAGCAAATAAAAAAAAAGTTTCCAAAAGAAAATTTTAAAATGCCAACCATTGTTGTTTTTACTGTAATGGTTAATATACAATTATGAAGCATCAGAAAGTAGGTTGCCGTCGGTTTGCCTAGTGGTTCGATCCAAGCCAAACTCAGCCTTCTACAAGCTCTCCTCAGGAGCGAAAACCTGACTCATAATAATCGGAGCCTAGAAGACCTCAGGGTGCGTCCTTGATTACCTAGAAAGTGCAACGATCCTCAGCGAACTATCTACGGATCAGCACCACCTCTCCCAGCACTCACCTGGGCCATCGGTAGCAATTATACGCCCACCGACGGAGGAGTGCTGCCCTGTATTTGAATAATATGCCTCCACTATGCGAGCAATCTGCATTAGAACAAAAAATCTGCTCTTATAATGCACCTTAGGTATTTCAACTCAATTAATTCCTCACGAAGAACAGGTCTGCTTTGTTACAACTATGCAGTCAACAAACAGATGCTTAAATTGCATGAAGTTACGAACAATATCGTAGGCACAATAAAATTATTCACGATTTATTAGCTGTATTACCCAATACAGTAAATGATACTACGAGACCAGGAAACTAACTAGCACTCTGGAAAGAAATATTGAAAGATTTGAGAGAAAAATCCTCTGGACGATTACCGGACCGATCTAGGAATAATAACATATGAATGAGAAAGACTAATAAAGAGCTGCTTAAATAAGATGGTTATTCATTATTATATGATATAATGACATATAATAATAGTATTATTGTAGATTGTAGAGAAGTAAGATAAACAAATAAATAAAGTGAGAGAATCACATTATATTCATAAAAGGTTGCTGCAAAATAATATTGGGTTGACAGTCACAGCCACAGGCGGATCTACGGGGAGGGCTTTCAGGCTGAAGCCCCCTCCTCCCACCCCGAAAAAAATGGTAAAATATAACCATGTTTTACAGAAAAAAATATTAAAAACTATCTCTTAAAGTATTCTTCGTGTAATAACATTTAATAGGACTTCAAGAACCACTTAAACACGATTTCATGTAGGTAATTAATTTTTTCCTTTTTTTTCAAATTAATTATCTATATATATATATATATATATATATATATATAATTTATGAAACAAAATTAATAATCGTTATATGTATATGAAAAAAAAATCTTTCGGGCTGATGCCCCCTCCAAAATTAAATCCTAGATCCGCTAGTGGACACAACATAGTTATCATTCAATACAAAGGACATTCCCTAAAACTAATATAAAAATATACAGTATCATCAATATATCTGAGCATACTAAACATTTGTTTTTAAATTTTTTTTTCTCCACTTATAATTTTTCTCTAATTCCTCGTCATATTTTCCTAGCTCTCTTCCTAACATAATTCCTACTTTCTGATAACAAATTATACAATGATTACAAGTTAACAAAATGTAGAAAATGAAGGCCTATACATATTTAAAACTTATCGATGCTTACATCCTACCCATCAATTATGACACAACATAGTTATCATTCAATACAAAGGACATTCCTTAAAACTAATATAAAAATATACAGTATCATCAGTATATCTGAGTATACTAAACATTTGTTTTTAAATTTTTTTTTCTCCACTTATAATTTTTCTCTAATTCCTCGTCATATTTTCCTAGCTCTCTTCCTAACATAATTCCTACTTTCTGATAACAAATTATACAATGATTACAAGTTAACAAAATGTAGAAAATGAAGGCTTATACATATTTAAAACTTATCGATGCTTACATCCTACCCATCAATTATGACTAGCTCAAAAAGGATAGGATAATATGAATCGATTCGATTTCGTTTCCCTAAACAATTAATTACAGGAACAATTACACACACATTATAGAGGTTAAGTGTATTCCAAGGAGGTCCCCAGATCTCAATATCGACCCCAAGAATAATTATTTGCCACATGCAGACTCGAACTTGTGCCCTGGCTAACAGAAACACAACAACTTCCTCACTGAGTACCTTGCCCACCTGTAATTAACAGGTGAAAATAAATTTCAATTTAAAAAGAATTGTTTGTTCACTGACACAATTTCGTCTATCCGGAAATATAACTATCAGACGGAATATAAACTGAATTGGTTTAAAATTTATCAAAATGTTTGGAACCACATGCCGTATCGGTTCCGGTCGTGACAACGTAGATCACAACTACCACAAAACTTTATAGAAATATATCGCCACATATCATTCATTGATATTATAATCAACATTTCACTTCTAAAAATATTTATTTTTCAAAAATATATATATATATTTATATGTTTGAAAAATAAATATTTTTAGAAGTGAAATGTTGATTATAATATCATGTGTATATATATATATATATAAAATGTGCATGTATTTATAATACATATGGTATAACTAATATATTCTACAGGAGCTAGGGTGCTAGGGGAGGTGGAATGGAAGGTAGGCGTCGCTGAGCACGAGCCATAGCTACCTCACGCTCCTACTCATCTTCCTCTGGAAGAGATTAGATCTGGTCAGCATTATACATGTACGTTTATATATAAAGTATAATATTATTAATATTGCTTATTGATAATTTTTTTATTAATCAAGAAACGTGGTAGAAAAAACTGAAATTAGTCATTACAAATATCTATGTAACCTAAAGCATAAACAACACAAGTAAAATATGATCATCTTTTTTGGTTTTTGTCGGCACGCCATTTCTTTGCTGATTCGTCGTCATATCCTATGGTTTAGCCATCATCTTTAAGATCATCGGTTCCTATAAATAGAAAAAAACATCAGGGATGATTAAAAAAATAAAATCTGATCAAAATTGTTATCTCGAATTTTCAAACATCATTTATGATTTTTATTAAGAGCGATTTTTATTTTTGATCATAAGTGATAAAATTCATATCCTGATCATTATTTTTTAAAAAAAAATATCCCATAACCCAAACTAACCAACACTCTAACACATCCAACAAATTCACAAACAAACAAACCCATATACATCACAAAAACCATTCTAAAACACCCCCAAATACAACCCCCAAAACCCCAACACCCCAAAAACAACCCCAACAAACCACAAACCAAACCCCCACCACCCCCAAAACCCACAACACACACACCCAATCATACCCACCCACCAAACTAAAAATAAACAAAAACATACCCACATCACCCCAACAACACATCATCCAACCACCCACCTTATTCAATAAACACCATAAATACCACATACCCCCCACACACAAACCACAAACACCCACACCCACAACACAACACACCACCCCCCACCCACCCACCAACACACCCCCCACCACCCAAAACCCCCACAAACCAACCACCACCCCCCCACAACACCCCCCCCACCCCCCACAACCCCCCCCACCCCCCCACCACACCCACACCACCCAACCCACCACCCCCACACTCACACACCCCCCCCCCCCACCCAATCAAAAACAACCCCCCCACCCCATTCTCACCCCCACACCCCCCAACCCCACACACCACCCCCCCAACCCCCCACAACCCCACCCCCCCCACCCTTCCACACACCCACCCAATCCCACCTCCACCCCCCCAAACCCCCCCTTCAACCCACCCCCCCCCCCCAATTCACCACCACCCCTCCACACCCACCAATCCCCCCACCCCACACCCTCTCACACCCCTCCTACAACCCACACCCCCCCCCAACCCCCCCACCCAAATAACCCCCCCACCCTCCACCCCCACACCCCATTCCCACTCAACCCAACAATCTCCAATTCATTTCACAAAATCCCCCCCACACTACAACCCACTCACCACTCAACCATTTAAACCCCAACCAACCATAACCAACACCTCCCACAAACCATCACCACCCAACACCCCACCCATCCCAAAACCACCCCCCCCCCAAATTAACCTAAAAACCACCCACCAGACCACAACCATACAACACCCCCCACACCAACATCTAATATCCCTCATTCCCCCTACACAACCCACCATACCACACCCAATACTCACCCAACCCAAAATAAAAAAAACAAACCCCCATCACCAAAATGAAAGGGCTTATTTGCCAACCCAATACATTCTGCAGATACGGTGCAATTAAAGCTATTTCAGAAATATAATATTAAAAAATGTGTACATTGATAATGTATTCATACATATTAATATTTTATTAAATTTGTGTGTAAAATGTGATTTTTATTATTTGATCAAAAATATATTTATCACAATTTAATCATTATTATTTATATAAAATCGTATCACTCAGTGAGTGAGCATTATGTTTTATCAAATTAATAAACACCAAAGATAGATTTAAATTTTTATTTATTAAGCTGCGTTGTGATTGGCTAAGGGAAAGAAAATGATTTCTTCCATCTCATAATAAATTACATTAACATATTTCATTATTATATTTTTATTTGTTCTCTGCTCAATATACTTACTAAAGGAAGTTTCGCATGGACTAACTAGTGATTATATAAATGAAACTTATAGATCATGGATTCATTTCGTATTCAATTATATACCAAAACATTTGCTTAAAGTTTGATAATTATATATATATATATATATATATATATATATATATATATATATATATATATATATATATATATATATATATATAAAACAAATGTAATTACATTTTCTAGAAATTTAAATATTATAAAAGAACGTGCTTAGACTTACCTAGTTTCGGTTGACTAGGGCTGGGCCCTGTGATCATAATTCTTCATTGTCGAGCAGTTGAGA